TGAATCATAAGGTGAAGGTACGAACGAACTTGTCTTTGGGGGAGACGCTCGGGCGACCCTCCATTTCTGGTCGATTGGTGAAATGGGCAGTCGAGCTGAATGAGTATTCATTGATGTATGAGTCAAGGAGGGCTATTAAAGCGCAGGTGCTAGCAGACTTTATCCAGGAAGGTACAAAGGTGGAGGAAGGATCTGGAGGAGTTTGGAAACTATTTGTGGATGGATCGGTGGCGAGAAGTGGAGCAGGATTGAGAATTGTCCTTGTTTTCCCTAAGGTAGATTACTTGGAATTTGCGGCTAAACTGGGGTTCAGAGTGTCGAATAATGAGGCTGAGTACGAGGCGGTAATCAAAGGATTACAATAAGCTACGTCCGGAGGAGCTCGAAAAGTACAAGTACATTCTGATTCTCAATTGGTAGTTGGGCAGTTTCAGGAGGGATTTGAGGTCAAGGAAGATAGGATGCAGAAGTATATTAATGAGATGAAGAAGTTAAAAGAGGAGTTCGATTCATTCGAGCTGATACAGATTCCTCGAGGGGAGAATGGTCGAGCAGATCTACTGTCGAAGATTGCCCAGAGCCTGTTTGACTGTAAGAGTAGAAGTGGAACTTTGTTACATTTGGATCATAGTGTGGTCGAGGCGGTGATTGTTGAGATTGAGGAGGTTCAGGATTGGAGGGCCCCGATCCTTGGGGAGTTGAAGGAGGGGACGATGAAGGTAGTGAGGAGGTTTTTTTAGCATGAAGGCATTCTTTACAAGCAGTCGTATGCCGGACCGCATCTGTGGTGTGTGACCAAGGAAGAGGGCCGCTACGTGCTAAGAGAAGTGCATGAAGGGTGTTGCAGTGACCATAGCAAATTGGGGGCTTTGGTGGCGAAGGTCCTGAAGGCAGGATATTTTTGGCCGACGGAGGATGCCAAGGTGATGGTGAAGAGATGTTTGCAATGTCAGAAGCATGATCCATTGATTCACCAGCCGACGGAGGCAATGACAACAATGAGTGCCCCAATACCATTTACTCAATGGGGGATCGACCTGGTGGGGCCGATGCCGCAAGGAACTAGGCAGAGGAAATTCTTGATCGTGGCGGTGGATTATTTCACGAAATGGGTGGAGGCCGAACCTTTGGCCAAAATCACGGAGGAGAAAGTCATCAACTTTTTAGTTTTTATATAACAATATTTGTTGCAGGTTTGGAGTCCCCAAGGTGTTGGTGTCTGACAACGGAACTCAATACAATATCAAACAGATTCGAGCATGGTGCGAGGACATGAAGATCGAGCAACACTTTGCTTCAGTTGCTCATCCGCAAGCCAATGGACAAGTCGAGGCGACCAACAGAATCATACTGAACGGGCTGAAGGCCCTGGGGGCGTGGGTCGATCAGCTAACCTCAGTACTTTGGGCATATCGCACTACCCCGAGGTCGACAATAGGAGAAACCCCGTTCAGTTTAGTCTATGGGATGGAAGCATTGTTGCCAGTCAAGGTCGAGCTATTATCACAAAGATCGAGCATATATGACCGGGAGAAAAACAAAGATCTAATGATGGCGGCCTAGGATACAATCGAGGAACTTCGGGAAAGAGCATCGATTAGGGTAGAAGCATACAAGCAAAGGATGCGAGCAGCCCATGACAAGAAAGTGAAAGTTCGCAGATTCCAAGTGGGCGACTTGGTATGGAAACGGATAGACGTGCTAAAGCATGTGGGAAAGCTAGAGCCGAACTGGGAGGGACTATACCTGGTCGAGAAGGTGCATGCAGGAGGAGCATACTCTCTAAAGGACGCTGAAGGACGATCGCTAGCCAGGTCATGGAACATTGCTAATTTGAAAAAATATTATGTGTAAAATTTTTTCTTTTTCTTGGGAAAGTTGGGAAAGTTGAACATGATGTAACTTGCAAGTTTGCTCAATATTAATGGAATTTAGCTTTCTTTCAATACATTCTCCTTACTCCGTACATTCTTATGTTTGGCATGTTGGTATGATATGGATGACAGGAGGTTTTAATTGATTTGATTAGAAGTCGCTTGTTCAGAACACCCCTTGGGAGGGGCAGGGTGGTCGAAAACTCACGATTTCGGGCTGGGTGGTTCCCTCTTTCGAACATTCCTTGGATTGGGTGGGCAAGTGCAAAGAAAAATTCCACCAGGATTAAGGCCTTCGGGCTGGGTGGTCGCTTGTTTAGAACATCCCTTGGGATGGGCAGGGTGGTCGAAAACTCATGCTTTCGGGCTGGGTGGCCTCCTGTTTCGATCATTCCTTGGATTGGGTGGGCAAGTGCGAAGACAAATTCCACCAGGAATAAGGCCTTCGGGCTGAGTGGTCGCTTGTTTAGAACACCCCTTGGGATGGGCAGGGTGGTCGAAAACTTACGCTTTCGGGCTGGATGGCCTCATGTTTCGAACATTCCCTGGATTGGGTGGGCAAATGCAAAGACAAATTCAACCAGGAATAATACCTTCAGGCTGGATGGTCGCTTGTTTAGAACACCCCTTGAGATGGGCAGGGTTGTCGAAAACTCATGCTTTCGGGCTGGGTGGCCTCCTATTTCGAACATTCTTTGGATTGGGTGGGAAAGTGCGAAGACAAATTCCACCAGGAATAAGGCCTTCGGCTTGGGTAGTGGCTTGTTAAGAACACCCCTTGAGATGGGCAGGGTGGTCAAAAACTCATGCTTTCGGGCTGGGTGGCCTTCTGTTTCGAACATTCCTCGAATTGGGTGGGCAAGTGCGAAGACAAATTCCACCAGGAATAAGGCCTTCGGGCTGGGTGGTTGCTTGTTTATAACACCCATTGGGATTGGCAGGGTGGTCGAAAACTCAGGCTTTCAGGCTGGGTGGCCTCCTGTTTCGAACATTCCTCGGATTGGGTGGGCAAGTGCGAAGACAAATTCCACCAGGAATAAGGCCTTCGGGCTGGGTGGTCTCTTGTTTAGAACATCCCTTGTGTTGGGAAATTAGGTCGGATAAGATGGAATAATAATAACACACCAATGTGAAATCGATAAAAGACACGAAGATTTGTTAACCAAGTTCGGATTAAATCCTACGTCTGGGGCGAACCAAGCCAGAAGAATGAACTAGAAGAAGAGGATAAACCGAATGTTACAACTCACACAAGCCCGTATGAATACACTCTCTCTACTTTTTTCTCTCTCTCCCTATCTCTCTTGTTATTTTTTTTTGTTGTGATTTTTACATCATGATTCCAGCTCTATTTATAGAGAAAAAATGCATCAAAATTTCTACAAATGTGTGCTAACATTTTTCTCCCACGGTGTGCTGCCCATTGACTTAACAATATCCCACTTGAGGACTGATTTCAGTCAGTCCTCACACCTCATTGATCAACATGTTCATCTCTGCTCCTGGTTCTGCCGGGTCTGTCTGTTTTAATCATCAAGGCCGGTTGAAGCTGCACACAGCTTCAACTTTTCCAAAGTTACCGCCTTGGTCAACATGTCTGCAGGATTTCTCTCTCCCGGAACCTTTTTCAGCTGCAACACCTTCTTCTCTAGAAGTTGCCGGATGAAATGATAGTTAATCTCGATGTGCTTCGTTCGCCAGTGAAACGCGGGGTTCTTTGCAAGATGGATTGCACTCTGGCTATCGCTGTATAGAGCCACATCCTCTTGAGGTCTCCCAAGTTCATTCAGGAAGTTTTGCAGCCAAACGAGCTCCTTGACTGCCTCTGTCACTGCCACGTACTCAGCTTCCATTGTGGACAATGTGACTATCTTCTGCAGCTTTGAGATCCAGGATACGGCCATCCCGCCGTAAGTGAACACGTACCCAATAGTACTCCTCATCTTGTCAAGATCACTTCCTTCAAATCAGCATCGACAAACCCAGACAGGGTAAGGGTACTACTTCCAAATACCAATGCCCGATCCTTAGTACCCCTTAGGTACCTAAGGATCCACTTTATTGCCTCCCAGTGCATCACTCCAGGATTGCTCATGAACCGGCTGACTACTCCCACTGCATGTGCTATGTCTGGCCGGGTGCATACCCTAGCGTACATCAGGCTCCCTATAGCCGAAGCATAAGGCGTAATTCTCATCCTTTCCTTTTCAGAGTTGGCCGAATCCTTGTTGGACAACTTGAAATGGCTTCCCAGTGGCACTCCAACCGGCTTTGCAATATCCATTTTGAATCTGCACAACACCTTCTCAATATAATCAGATTGAGAAAGCCAAAGTTTACCAGCATTTCCGTCCCTCGTGATTTTCATTCCCAGTATCTGTCTCGCTTCTCCTAGATCCTTCATATCAAATCTCCTTGATAGCTGATCCTTAAGCCTCTCGATCTCCTTGACATCTGATCCTGCTATCAGCATGTCATCCACATATAGGAGTAAAATAATGAAAGAGTTACCGAACCTTTTCACATAGCAACAATGATCAACATTACACCTGGAGTATCCATTCTCCAGGATGAAATAATCAAACTTTCGATACCCTTGTCGAGGAGCCTGTTTCAGTCCGTACAATCTATTCTTTAGGCGGCAGACCTGCTAATCATTTCCTCTATACCCCTCTGGCTGCACCATGTAAATTTCTTCCTCGAGATCCCAATGCAGAAAGGCCGTCTTCACATCTAACGATTGTAACTCCAAATTTTCCGCCGCTACCATGCTTAACACTAGACGAATAGTGGTTAACTTAACAACAGGTGTAAAAACATCGGTAAAGTCAATACCGTATCTCTGTTAGAATCCCTACACTACAAGTCTGGCCTTGTATCGCTTCGTCCAATCTGATTCCTCCTTGATCCGATAGACCCATCTGTTTTGAAGAGCCTTCTTTCCTTTTGGGAGATCACACAAATCCCATGTGTGGTTCTTCTTCAACGAGCTCATCTCGTCGTCTATCGCAAGCTCCCATTTGCTCTTGTGGGCATCTTTAACTGCCTCTTCATAACAGTTGGGTTCCCCAGAATCAGATAAAAGTAGGTAATAAAGAGAAGGGGAGTACCTATCTGGGGCCCTTCTCATCCTCGGTTCTCGGCCCAGTGCAGAGGCGTGTTGTTCTCAGCAATCGGTTCATCTGATTCTGGTTCTGCCTCTTCTTCTGTACGCTCGATCTCATCTATCTAAGCTCCCACTGAATCTGCTGGTCTCATGATTCTGGTATTTGAAATATCGAGACCAACATACTCCTGCATGGTCTTGTCATCATCAGGGTATTCCTTCCGGTCCTTGTACGTTATGCCTTCATTGAACACCACATTACGACTGCGAATAATTTTCCAATTTTGATCATCCCAAAATCTATACCCAAATTCGTCAGTCTCATATCCAATGAATGTACATTTGACGAGCTTAGCATCCAGCTTTTTCCGGTCGTCGTTCAAAACGTAAGCCAAACAACCAAAGGTACGTAAGAAAGAGAGATCAAATCCCTTACCACTCCAGACCTCTTCTGAAATTTTATTATTCAGTGGGACAGAAGGCCCCCGGTTGATCAAGAAAGAGGCCGTGCTGACTGCTTCTGGCCAAAACATCTTGGGCAGTCCACTCTTCAATCGCATGCATCTCGCATGCTCATTCAGTGTCCTGTTCATCCTCTCCGCAATGCCATTTTGTTGAGGTGTCCTTGGGACCGTCTTCTGCATCTGGATCCCATTATCAGCGCAGTATTCTTTGATGGCTTCACTGTTGTACTCGCCACCGTTGTCGGATCTGAGACATTTCACTTCCAAACCTGTCTCTTTCTCCACGAGTGCTCTCCATCTCCTGAAAGTATCAAAGGCATCGGATTTTCTTTTCGGAAAGTACACCCATACCTTTCTTGTGCAGTCATCAACGAACGTCATGTAGTACATCGATCCTCCAAGAGATGTCACCGCTGCTGGCCCCCATAAGTCAGTGTACACGAGCTCCAGTTTTTATGTCTTTGGAGCTCTCCCGGTGGTCATGAAGCTCACTCGCTTCTGCTTTCCAAGCACGCAATGCTCGTAGAGACCCACGTCCACTGACTCTATCTCGGGCAAAAGTCCTCTCGACTTCAGTACCTTCATTCATTTCTCACTCATGTGGCCCAAGCGACTATGCCACAAGTGCGATTATGAGACAGCTCCTGCCAAGGGAATATTTGAGCTAGATCCACCCGCCATGTAAAGCGTTCCTGACTTCAGCCCTCTTGCCAAAGTCATAGCTCCTCGGCTGACCTTCCACTTTCCGTTTCCAAATATTGTGTGGAAGCCGTCATTGTCCAGCTGTCCAACTAAGATGAGATTCCTCTTCAGTCCTGGAATGTGCTTCACATCCCGTAGGGTCCAGCATGACCCATTTGCGGACTTGATCTGCACATCTCCCTTCTCTACAATTTTTAGGGGTTTGTTGTCTGCAAGATATACCACGCCAAAATCACCTACTGTGTATGGCTCCATGATGTCTCTACTACTGCAAGAGTGAAACGGGGCCCTGAGTCCACGATCTAATCATCGAGCGAGCTTCTCACACTCAACAAGAGTGCATCCGTCGTGTCCTCCGTCGCAGCATTGGTTGTCCGACCCTCTTTGTCCTTTTTTGGTGCCCGGCATTTGCTTTTCATATGCCCAGGCTTCTCGCAGTTCCAACACACTATCTCTTTCTTGCATTTATTCCTTCCCCTGGATTTCCTACGGATTTTTCCTCGTATGTTGGGTCTTCCTCTGGACTCAGTATGTAGCGCTGAGCCAGAGGACCCACCCACCTGATTTCTGCGAGTCTCCTCGTTCAACATCATGTCTCTTATGTTGTCGAACTTCATCTTCTCCTTGCAGAAGAATTGCTCACCAACATAACAACTACGTCCCAACTGTCCGGCAATGATGAGAGCAAGATTAGGAAATATCCACCGATGCCAGCTGCGTCGTGAGTTGTTGAAATCGTTGAGATAATCGGCCACTGACTTTCGCTCCTCCATTTGAAATTTGAATTGCTTTTTCATCAGCATCACCTTGTTTATTGCTGATGGTTTTTCATACATGTCGGCGAGTGTCTGCAAGACCTCCTTCATGTTTTTTGCTCCATTCACATGGTAGGCGACGTTTCGAGAGAGCAAAAGAATTATAGCGCTCATCGTCTTCTGATCGAGCACCTTCCATTCATCATCGCTCATCTTCTCGGGCTTTTCCCCAAGAGGTGCGTAGAGGTCCTACCCGTACAGGTAAGCCTCCAGTTGCATTCGCCAGAATCCAAAGTCGGAAACATTGAACCGTTCGACTGGAATCTTTCCCTCCATCTTATCTCCAACCTCCTGGCTCTGATACCAGTTGTTGGGAAATTAGGCCGGATAAGATGGAATAATAATAACACACCAATGTGAAATCGATAAAAGACACGAAGATTTTTAACCCAGTTTGGATTAAATCATACGTCTGGGGGCGAACCAAGCCAGGAGAATGAACTAGAAGAAGAGCATAAACTGAATGTTACAACTCACACAAGCCCGTATGAATACACTCTCTCTACTCTTTTTCTCTTTCTATCTCTCTTGTTATGTTTTTTTGTTGTGATTTTTACATCTTGATTCCAGCTCTATTTATAGAGAAAGAATGCATCAAAATTTCTACAAATGTGTGCTAACATTTTTCTCCCACGGTGTGCTACTCCATTTTTTTTTATTTTTCTTTGGCAGATAGAAAGAAAATGGACTGCTGCCCATTGACTTAACACCTTCGGATGTGCAGGCGGGTAAAAAACTCACGCTTTCGGGCTGGGTGGTCCCCTGTTTCGAACATTTCTCGGATTGGGTGGGCAAGTGTGAAGACAAATTCCACCAGGAATAAGGCCTTCAGGCTGGGTGGTCTCTTGTTTAGAACACCCCTTGGGATGGGCAGGGTGGTCGAAAACTCACGCTTTCGGGCTGGGTGGCCTCCTGTTTTGAACATTCTTCGGATTGGGTGGGCAAGTGCGAAGACAAATTCCACCAGGAATAAGGCCTTCGGGCTGGGTGATCGCTTGTTTAGAACACCCCTGGGGATGGGCAGGGTGGTCGAAAACACACGGTTTTGGGCTGGGTGGCCTCCTGTTTCGAACATTCCTCGAATTTGGTGGGCCAGTGCGAAGAAAAATTCCACCACAAATAAGGCCTTCGGGCTGGGTGGTCGCTTGTTTAGAACACCCCTTGGGATGGGCAAGCGGGTCGAAAAATCACGCTTCCGGGCTGGGTGGTCCTCTGTTTCGAACATTCCTCGGATTGGGTGGGCAAGTGTGAAGAAAAATTTCACCAGGAATAAGGCCTTCGGGCTGGGTGGTCGCTTGTTTAGAACTCCTCTTGGGATGGGCAGGGTGGTCGAAAACTCACACTTTCGGGCTGGGTGGCATCCTGTATCGAACATTCCTCGGATTGGGTGGGCAAGTGCAAAGACAAATTCCATCAGAAATAAGGTGTAACGCCCCCATTTTATTTGATGAAAGTCAAGGACTTTTCAAAAATTCAACTTAAAATTTTTCAAAATCTTTTCATAAATCGGTGGCGCTACTTAACTTAAATCACATAAATAACATAATTCATACTCGCATAAAACATAAATCATAAATTCGACAGTTTCATAAATCCCAAGTTCCTCCATGTTATTCATAATGGAACATCTCCCAATCCAAAGTTCCAAAGATCCCAAATTTATAAATCATAAATGCTCAAAGTCGTAAATGCATAAATAAACATAAATAGTATAGCATTCGGAATAAACTAAATGAGGTCAGTCAAAGACCAACACCACTCGTCTTTTGTCTCGTCAGCCAACACTTGCTTAACCTGCATCCATGAAGAGCAGGTGGGAGTGAGCACGTGAACTGTAGTGCTCACTACTTTGCACATGTACAATAATAATACACGAGAAATTAAATGACATGGTCTCAGTATGAACATAATCATTAAACATCCCATCTCCTAATCAAAGTAATTCTTTTATGCACACCTATAACAATAGATTTCTGCTCATATGCCTTTCGGTGAATATAAATGGAGTGCCCAAACAGTAGGAGGTTCAACCGTCACAGCACGCACCTAGTGCATGGACAGGATAATCATCACCGGCAAGGGCAGATTGCCAAGGACTTACAGATGACGTGGTCCTTAGCGAAGGACAAACGTGGAGATTACCCTTGTGGGGTACATTCTATAGCTACGGGGATAACCGTTCGACGACCGACACAACTCACATCGAAGGTTACATCTTCACATGCATACATTGATCATACCCACATAAATAAAACGTTTATCATTCAAGGCATAGACAAATTTGAATAACACCCACCTGGAGCCGGATGATAAAGAAAATTAACCCGAAAATTGTAGGTGGTTGAGAAACTGCTTGTCAGACACCTACATAAGTCAAGAAAGTCCCATTAGCAACTATCTCGACTCTTACACATATAACAAGAATTATACTTAGTCGAATCACATCGACTAAGAAACTCGTGGAGTTGGAACATTCGGACGACTCCTAGACTCAACCAACCAATTAATAAATAATCTAAAAGTAGGCAATGAAGGTTTGACACAAAAACGGGGTCAACGGGTCAAGGATTTGCCAACAAGGCCAACCGGTGCCAAAAACGGCCAAAAGGACTAGTTCAAATTTATAAGAATAGGACCATAAGGAGTTAGGCTTGGACATTCTAATTCAAATTTTTACAGCACATAAAGGACCGAAAAACACACATTTTCACCAAAGGAAAACCTCTAAACATGCCCCTAACCAATTTAAATAAATCAAGCAAAAACTGACCAGAAATCGAATTAAATTATTTAAAATAGCTACGGTCCGATATTAAATTTGAAACTTTTGCAGTAACAAGATATCCTGTAGAAAAGCAACATATAAAAAATATAGCCATTTTGGACAAGAATTCGATTTTATATGAATTTACTAAGAAACAGCTCACAAATGGTATTCGAGTTTTGACGAGGTTACAGCCATATAAAAATCTCAATTTTTTACTACAAGTAATATAACAATAATAATACTACATATCCAAAAATCAGAATTTTTGGACAAAAATCAAGAATTTTTGGAGCAATACACGAATTATGGTGATTTTAGCAAAAACCGGTTGCAGCATGATTTTCAAAAATTCATATCTCACATTATACACATCCAAACGACACAAGGCCAAAGCCATCGCGTCAAGGACATTCCTAAGTCCATTAATCCACAGCACTTCCAAGGAAAATACTACATTAACCTCAGTTCGACAAAATTCCAAAGTGACGACAATCACTTTGATATCCAATTTGCAAATATATATCAATAATTTCACAAATACTCATCTAAGGCACGTAATTAGTTCAAAATTCATACATTCAGCAATAACAACACATATACGAGCACTTAAACACATATAGGGGTGAAATAAATAAATCGAGCGTTAGCCCGGGTACCGTTCTCAGGTAAACGTTCGAAAAACGGGACAAAAGAAATGAACGGCACGACGGTGGGCTCAACGGCTGCGCTTCGTCTCGCCAAGGTCGCGCGGGTGGTCTGCCCGAGAGCACGGCGCTGAGCAGTGATGATGTTCAGCGGACAGCGGCGATGAGCCTCGGTGACAATCGTGAATAGAACTCGGCGATGGCGGTGACCTCACGATAATGACGAGCA